GTCCGGGACCCAAACTGCAGTAGACTACATGGGAGTCCAGTGACATAGCCATTATGCCAACTGCTGGCCCCTGCCTACTCCACTTCTGTGCTGGAGATTCCCAGAGTATACTAATGCAATAAAGGCTCTGAGAAGCCCTGCAGCCAGAAATCCCCTCTAACCTGATTGTCTGAATTTCCCAAACTCACATGACCATGGAACCCTTTGTAACACCTAACATCCCGCAGCAAACCGAGATTCTGCTTTAGAGCAGTACAAGACCAGGGCGGTTTGAAAGAGACACTTCTCAAGCCCAAAGGTGTTACCTGGGTTACAGGCAGTCGCGGCAGGTGAGAGAGGAGGGCCAGTGGGTAGGAGTATGTGCTAATCGCATCTCTGTGAATATGGCCGGTTACCACTGATGTCCAGTGGGCTTCACAGAGTCATGCCTCCACAGAGAAAGCTCAGGTAGAAAAGCCGACTCCGTGTCTCTGAGTTCTGTACATCTGCACGGGGGAGGAGACGCCAGCTGCCGCGCCTGCCCAGACACTCCGTCCACCTGCCACAGTCCTAGCCTAGCCACCCGCCTGGCAAACTCTCCGACACCAGGTAAGGACAAACATTGTAGTTCTCCTGGGGAATGGACAAGTTTGTTTTGCTAAGAGAGAGGGAAAGCGATTTCTTCAGTGTTAATATTTGCACGAATGTGACTTCAAAAACACGGTCATCTCTGCCGGATGGTGTTACGGTGTTAAACAAGCCACTGAGGCATCTCGGGCTCCAGCAGGAACAAGGCCCATCGCAGTGAGGTGTGCCCAAGGCCACACCGTGATAAAGCCAGGACGGGAGCCCCAGGCTTCTGACTCTGCCCAGCTGTTTCCCTCTGCCCAGGAAGAAAGGCCCCGCAGGCCCTCGCAGAGTGACCAGGTGTGCGCCTCACTTTCCTGACGTGTTTATTGAGCACCGGCAGTGAACGAGCCAGGCTCTGCTGTAGGCCCAGAGACGTGGCGGTGAATAAGTCAGTCTCTGCCCCTCGGGACTGGCATTCTGATGGGCAGGAGAGAGGATACACCAGTGAATACACACGAATGGAGTAGGGCGGGGTGTAAGCGCTTCAGAAAGAAATAAATCAGGGTAAGTAATGAGAGAGTGACAGCCGGTCTTCGTGGAGAAGAGACGGGAAGTGGCCTCTGCAGAAACCTGGGGAGGAAAGACCCAGGAGCTGAAATGGCAGGTGCAAGGGCCCTGGGGCAGCAGGGTGTTGGTCTGTGTGTGGAGCAGCCCCAAGGCCAACGTGGGCAAGAGTCGGGGTGAGGGGGAGGCAGGGCAGGGTGCGGCCTCTGGATTTTGCTGCATGAGTGAGGAAGCGTTAGGACCTAAGTGATACCTTTGACCCACTTCTCAGAGCCCTCTCACAACAGCGAGTCAGGGCGGATCTGTCACATGCGGGAGCCGTCCTGGGGTCTGTGAGGGGGAACTAGAGGCTGGTTGTGGCGTAGACACAACACGTTTGGAGAGTGAAGAACTGCTGTTTAAAGGCACGTGGATAAGAGGACACTCCCCAACTCATCGGGCATCTTAGAATGTTTCCAGGTGGACCTGGACTTGGGAGAAAGATGGGGGTTCGCTCCTCCCTCAACTGAGAGGGATGAGGCCTGAGCGACCAGGGGCTGACCAGAGCCGTCTTGACATCTAAGGGACTCGGGAGTGGGACTGCAGGAGGAGAGGTCAGAGGCTGCTGCTCGCTTCCTGCCAGCCCTGCCCTGGCATCGGATTCACATCTGGGCCTGTTTATTCTCTTAAAAATCTCGGCAGCACTTTTCCCAGCATGCTCTGCAAGACAGCTGGAAAGAGCGGCCTTGCCTAACAGATGCCTTGTGAGCGTGACCTGCCCTGTCCTTGCTGCGGGCAAGCATCCCCCCACGTATCTCTTCCAGGCCTCTCAATGCCCTTGTCCTGCTGGAACTGTGATGGCCATTGGCACATGAGGGGACCGAGGTGCCCAAGGCCACGCAGCAAGTAGGCGGCAGGTTCAGGACTCAAAGCTAGGCTACTAGTGGCGTGGTTGTTGGGGTGCCAGACCCCCACGTGGCTGACCGTGGTTCAGGTCCGGGAAGTCACACCAGGCACATGTGCGTGCACATCCAGGGTCCCAGGAGAATGGAGGGCAGGAGATTGCAGCGTGGCCATCTCCCCGAGGGCCAATTCCTCACTTTCTCACATACCCTCTTACTGTCTCTCTCCTAGAGAGCACATGTGCCCTACGGGAAAAATCCAACAAAACGAAATAAAATATAAAATAAGTAACACTTCCACATCATGGGGCTGTCTTCCGGCCTGTGCTCTCCCCTTCATGGTCATTCCTCATCTCTTGTATTTGTTTTGCACTGAGCAGTTTGCAAAGCATTTTCACATGTGGTTTCGGTATCATTCCACCCTGTGCTGAGTGTCTCTGCTCTGGATAGCAGTGTCCTGTCTGCCTGTCCCCTCCCCCCCCTTACCTTCTGAGTGGAAGAGGTGACTCACTCACTTCTAGCACAATTCCACTCCCCACTAGCACTTTGCACAGAGCAGACCTTTAACAAATGTCCAAGGAATTAATGCATTGGATTTAAATGGGTTTAAATCCTGCAACTGCTACTTATAAGCCATGAGATGTTGGGTAAGTTACTTAACCTCTCTGTGCCTGGGTTTCCACATCTGTAATTCTTATTAAGAGTAAATGAGGGAGACCAGCAGTTGGCATAATGGCTATGTTGCTGGGTTCCCATGTAGTCTACCACAGTTCGAGTCCTGGACCCGGTGGCTTAAACTCATGCTGGGCGCGTGGGCATGCGTGTCCAAGATCCCGAGAGGAGAATGGAGGAGAAGGGATTGCGTCGTGGCCATCCCTACTGGGGGGTGATTTCTCACTTTCTTTCTCTCTGTCTCTCTGTCTTTCTGGCGAGTACACGAGCCCTATAGCAAAAAAAACCACACACACACCTCTCAAAAAAAAAAAAAAGAGTAAATGAGTTTGTTTTCTAGCATATGGTAAATGCTATATAAATATTTGCTAGATAAAATTTTAGAAATTCATTGCACACTTCTTTTTTCCTCATTTCTTTCCTTTTCATAACAGCTAACACTTACATAGCACTGACGTACCAGGCCCCATCCCAAGCACCTTCCTGGTCATGGATCTGCCTTCAAATCTGCCTCGTATCGTACATGAGTACACCCCAGGCTGGGTTCAACCCCCCAGGCTGGGTTCACATCAGGGGTCAGAAGTCATCGGTGGGAAGAGTCTAGGGAGTCATGGGGGGAGGGGGTCAGCATCTTACAGGACGGGGGGAAGAGCAGACCCTGAGGGCAGTTCTGGCTTTGAGTTCTGCGCACCGAGGAAGGTTACAGATCCTCAGCTGCAAAGACGGGCCATAAAAGTGGCCAGACGGCAGGCAGGGC